ATTAGTGGAATATCCTGAATACCTCCATGCACCCTACCTATATACCAATTCTATACTTTTCTAGGAAAGGTACTTGTGCTTTTCACATGATTTGCAATTCAAATGCTAAAAAGGGATTAGTAGGCGGGTTCAACATGAGAGATAATAGGACAATTTTGAGTGTAGGCGTGTGGTTAATTTTAGGTATATGCAGCATGGAAAAATCACGTCCCATGTAATGAATCACAGCCTATCTTCTCAACAAAGCAAGGTTTCTCAGGAGGAAAATTGACTGCAGCACCGGCAAACATAAAATACTGAAGATGATCTGTTGACTTTTTTTTTAATGCGGTTTAAAGAAAAGAAACTAGAAGCTCAGACAAATTAGAAATTAACAATAATGGGACATGTCCACTCAGCTATAACCCAATTTTTAATTAAGCCAAGATTTATGACAGGCACCTAGCTTGTGATATGACCCCTGGAAATATCTACAGCTGTTGCTGAAATCGAGAACATGCTCACTATTGACTAAGTCTCCACAGGTAAAATAAAAAAAAGATAAATCATAGTTATGATTACAAATTAGAGTGTCTTGGAATCAAAACCTAGGTAACTCAGAACCACACGCACAAACATATAGGCAAGAGTTTCTATTGAACTGCAATAAATACTTAAATTGGTGCCAGTTATAGTGCTTTATTTGGGGAGCCATCATTTCCAGGTTATTAACCTAATCATTTAAAAAGAACTTTTCACAGCATTAATCCCATTTAAATTTTAGATGGAAACATTCAGTAGAGGAGAAGCTCTATTAGTTGCACGATGTGAAGCAAATGGGAACACAGAAAGCAGCTGAGTAAAAATCAGAAAGAAAATGAAACTTTCTATAGGTATCAGTTAGCTGATAAGTATCAAGCTAAACAGCAGTTTACTTTGTGGTCTTCCTTGACATCACACTCAGCATGACCAGAGCCTGAAACCAAGGTATATTTCAAGTGCCACAGAAATTAGCTGAAGATGCGCAGAATGAAAACTATACTAAGGCTATGTTATCAATATATAAATGGGGCCAGATCCTCAAATCCTTTCAATCTTTGAAGACTTAATTGCAACAAAGTGAAAGGGGTCTTATGAAATAACATACTACAGGACTGCATCTATATAATCCATAAATCTAATATATAGCAGTTGATATAATGTCATATATTAATAATATATATATTATAGAAAGAATTAAGAATGTGTATTAGCCTTAAATTTTATAGTTACTGATCTTCAAATAACAGATCTTGAATTTCCCATTCTTATTTGATTTCACAGGTGTGCTTGTGTAAAGAAATACAGGGATTCGAATACATGGATTCCCAAAAGGTAAATGCATTGTTCTAACGTCACTTTCTTAGCAGACAGGTAAAATCTTAATGTTACTATGATTTTTACATCATTATAAATTAGAACATACATACCTGTGCAAGTTAGAGCAGCTGTATCTTAGATCTTAGCTCCTCTAAAGCAAGAATTCATTCAAGCTTCCTGGGGGTGGAAGGAGATGTTATAATGCATACACAAGAAATACTTAAATGTGTGCCATGTGATTGTCTTACTGAATGATGCAGAAAAAACAATAAACTTCCTTTAATCTGTGCTTTCACAATGTTTTCATTTTTTATATAAAAATAAAACTTAGAGGAATAAATTTTAAAAGCAAATCATCAATTCATCTCATTCCTAATATAAGCTCTTGTTACTTTGGTTCATCAGTGTCAAGTACATGTTCTCAAACTCACAGGACATTTGGTGTAAAATAATTATTTTTTGTATATATGAAGAGACATAGAGAGCATTTTGGATTGCTATATTGTCATTTTATTAGCAAGAGTCTGATATATGGGTTGCAAAATTTACATTCTAAAAAGCCCTAAGTTGGATGATTACATTAAAAATTATATTTGCATGATTTACTTTGATCCAAATTTCAAATGTACCTTCCTTAGGAAGAAACAGTTGGTTCAGAAATTCAAGCAGTTATAATTTTCATAGAAAACCAGAATACATTTATAATTATTGCTGAAATACCACAATACCTTTAGATAACTATAATTAACATTTAAAGGTTACTAATAATCTGGAGAGAAGAAAGGGAGAAATTGAAAGCATGGAAGAAACACAAAATGTAATATCCATTCCATCAAATAAACTGAAAATGTTTTGAAGGACCAGGAACAACAGATGTACTTGGCTTTGCAGAAAACTGAACAGGCTGTATAAAGAGACAGCTATTCTTTAACATATTTAAAAATGTGAGAGAGTAAGAAAAAAAAGGTATCCTAATGTAGTCTGCATGATGAGCCTAACTGAAAATGTTACAAATACTTCAGTAGAGAGAAATAAGAGATAGAAAACTGCTAAGCTTAGAAAGGTAGTCTGAAAATAACAAAATAAGATTCAATTTGGAAAGATGCTAGATAATATGCCTAGGAAAAGAATAAACTCAAAAAAGTGATAAAAACACGCAGACAGGAACAGAGAAACCCAGAGAGCAGCAGAGCTAGTAAAGATCTATGGGTGATAGCAGATAGCAATTTTGACGTGATTTTACAACATCATATGGCAGTGAAAGGGCCAAAGGAATTCTGGGACATTTTGTAAAGGCAATAAGATAACAGGTCTTGTCTATACTGCTCCGGTATGACTGCACTTAGGATATTGCATTCAATTCTGGGCAACTCAGTACTAGAAAGATATTGACAAATTGTTGGGAGTTCAGAGGACAGCGACAAAAATGAATAGAAGGCTGAAGGGTTGATTTATGAGAAAACTGTAAAGCAACTGAGCAAAAGTACATGACTAGACTAAGCAATATCCAGAGGGCGACATCATAAAAGCCTGCATATATTGGAAAAGTATAAACGTGTTGAAGAGAAGAGAATTACTTAAATTAAGGCTAGAGGTATAAATAGAATTAATGAGATGAAATGCTGAAGCAGAATATTTCTGTTAAACTATTTTAAGTAGGACACTATGGGAGAGCATCTCAAGGACAGGAGGAAAAAAGCATCACACCTAATAGTTAAAACAACATTAGAGAAGAAGGAGATTACCCACTGTCTCTTTCTCCAAAAGTTCTCCCAACTTACCTAATGTCACTTTCTAAAGTGGTTATTTGCCAGCCTCCACATTACTGTCACACAACGCATGGAGCATTTCATTTCATGCTTCATATCATCTCAGACTTCACAGTTTTCACTGTCCTTTTGTCTGTGCCTTTGATTTTGCAGCTGCTACCATTGATTGCCCATTAAACTTCATGGTTTAGTTTAAATTTTCTTGGATCAAAGTCTCGAACTATTACTCAAGTTTAGTAATATCTCAGCCATAATAACAAGATAGAGTGTTAATAAGCAGCTGCAGGTTGTGTGTGTGCGAAATAAAGATTAGCTAACCTGATCTGTAGCTTATATTTTTATCACAGTTTAGGTATTCCAATTTAAATGTTACTTATTTCCATCTGAAGTTCTAGGCACACTTTATCCCATGAAAAACACTACTATATCCCAACCCAATTAAAATAAGCAACTTAGCCAGGAGTGAAGATGGCACAGAATTACTTTCTACTTTTTTCATCACTCCTATCCTCTTCCCAGTCATAACTCAGAGACTGCCTCAATACAGACAGGGTTGCTTCCTTAGCAGAAGTACTGGGATAAATCCATGTGATGCAATGCTGTGCTTCTGTGCAGAAACAGGAAATAATTCTAAATTCAGAAGTATGATCCACAGCCCTCTTTAAAATAAAAAGCTTATGAAAGAAATATTCCCAGAAATTCATAAAACTAAAGGAAAATGAAGAGCAAGACACATCAGCACACTCTTATCTTGTAGCATAGTCCAGAAAAGAAATGCCTGGCATATTGCCAGACAAAATTTTTTATGAGTTATGTGTTTCTTAAACTCTACCTTGAGTGCTCTGGGAAGCTATTAGAGCATATGCCAGACCACTCTTCTTATGTGCTGTATCCAGGATGCCACATTTAATAAACAAACCTTTGAGTTTTACAGCAGCGCTGGTCTCTGACTAGTTTTAAGTGTGTGGACTCCCCAGGAGCATACTGCAGCAGGCTCTTCTTCACCTGACAGAAGTCTGGGTAGGGAGCTCTACAGGCTCCAGGTCAGCTCTGCATCACCCAGGCAGCACTGTTCACCCTGAAAGCCAGGTTTTATGCTATTAGGCACAAGGTGCACCCAGTGTCCATGGCAGCTTAGTATGCAATGTAGACAAGAAAGACCACAGATCTACAAGGCAGAAGAAGTTGTTCCATTGGCCAGTTTGAGCATTAGAAATTAAAATGAACAGAATGAAAGAATGATGAACACCAGAGCACATGATGAACATCAGAGGGCTTTTAATCCTAACACCTAAATTCAAAAATATGTAATACAATTGTGTTTTTCTTCACCCTGTCATCACTATATAGATGACTAAAACATTCCACTAGTAAAATAATTTCACCTCCTTTATGTGGACGCCAGCTCTAGGCCACTAACGTAGGAAAGTGGTCTTGAAATAGGCATAAAATAGCTATAATATGAACAAGCTCAACAGAACCAGGCTCACAAAATAGCAGTACACAAAAAAGAAAAATGATTTTCAAGTAGGTAAAATATCATAATGATGCTCTGCTCCTTCAAAAATCACCAGGAGACAAACAGGCCAAAAGATAATTTGAGATCTACCCAGTTACAGATAGGGAATTCCCATTATCTGCACCTGAAGCACTGTTGTCATATTTATTAGGAAGAAGCATACACAGTAGACAAAACAGAAGTAGATGAAGATGATAATGGAGCTAACACAGTCCAGCAACTCCAGGAAAACAAAAACATTGCTTTGTCAAATCTTTGTTGAATTTCTATTTAGTCTTAACATTCAGACACGTAGGCATCAGGAAAGTACCATCCTACCCTGCCCCAAAACTGCAAATGTCACACTGGCTTACACATTTATCTTCCAAAATATAAATCTTGTTCAGCTTCAGTTATTTTGCTTTCACAACTCTAGTTTCCAGGCCAAAGAATATAAAAGACCTGCACCATGATTTGCATCATCCAGGATAAAGACCCCTGTCTCTAGATGCTTCTCATCTCTTCAGGCAACTTTTCCTATCTGCAAAGGGACTCTGCCAAAAGGAAGAACACCACTTAAAATACAAAAAAAAATTATTTACTGTTTAACACACACAATAAGGCTAAAGAGAAATAATACTAAATGCTAATATACCTTCAACACTGAGAAGGTCCCTGGTGAATATTTCTTGGCCAGGCAGTCATTAGTTGGGTGAGGGAGCATCAGCAGCCTTTGCTCCTTGAAATAGGCTTATCCCCAAAGCTTCAGAGGTACTATCTTCAAATTCCTTGTTCCTATTTTTTTTTGCCTTTAGGTTTTTATATTATTTCACAGGAATAATTTTCCTCTAGAATACTTGAGCTCTCTGAGCAACCTTAACTACTTCTGTAATGTTACTCACCTAATCTTACATAGCTCTACTCTACCTGCTTTTCATCATCAGTCTGAGCACAGCTGGGCCACATCAAAACTAACCTTCAATGAGAAACAGTTGAAGTCTTAGGACTTCAGGAGACAGGAGAAGCATTAATGTCCCTGTTGCATCTATGATATAGGCTTAGCCTCCACCATGTACAATTCAGTAGACTATTACCTCTTAATTTTTTCCACAGCTTTCTTTTGGACACATCTTTAAAAGTTTTCTTAAAGGCTGCTGCTATTTACCAAAGTCCCCTCAAATTCCTATACACGATGTTTTTAATATAGCCAGTGATTTTTGTATGTTTCTTGTAACAGAGGAATTTGCTTCTTACTTCAGCCTGTTGCCTCCCTTCTGTTCCACAAAACCAGTTTTCTTGCAGCTGAAGCTGTTATGTTCAGGCTTAGACTCGGTAACTCTTTGGCATCAACATGTTTGAATGTTGAAACTGCTTCTCTCCAAGGCCAAAAGCACACACGCAGAAAACACACAACAAACTGGAGCACAAACAAAACTAACAATTCAAAAAAATGTGCTGGCAGTGAGTGATCACTTTCCCAGTCCTTTCCCCTCACAACCCACTCATGATCTCTACAGACATATGTGCAACATGACCCCTTACATAATGCAAGCTATTAGAAACAGCAATGTCTTTAAAAGACTTGAGGAAGAAGAAAACATATGCCGTATCCCATAGGGAATGTCACCCCTAGGAAACCAAAAGCTCTGTGCTCACATGGCATATGCCTCCTTTCCTCCCGGGTGTAAGAATACGTCATTTATGCTCTCTGTGCCAGACTGATCATCGATCTTCACTAACCTTCTGCTTTTGCCATTCTGCCCATCAATATTCTTCATTGAAGAGAATGCTTTTTTTTTCCAGTTCTGCAATCTAAAAGCACAATAGAGAAGAAAAATGCAGGGTTAACATCTTGCATTGACAATAACAGACCAGTGAAACAAAGGGACATTATGAAAAGTGTGGATGGAATATTGACTGCTTCATGAACTTTCCTACCGCTTCCAAATTTTTCTTTCTTTTTTTTTTCCCCTCTCAAACATCCCTGCCTGACTTTCTTGAGTTTCATTCAAATCTCCACAGTGCCTACTGGTGCACATTCAATAACACAAATCTTCAACTGGCATAAAATGCAATAGATCTAATCTGTACAGCTCAGTTGCATCTGGTGGGTCACAGAAACAATTCAGAAACTGAGGGTTTGAACTTCTGAATTCATTGTACTGAAGCAAGTACTTATGGCTCCCAAAAGCTATCACAGTAGATTTCTATCAAATGTAGTTCTTATAATAAATGCATTTGAAATGTTATATTTGTTGGGATGTGGAAACTTTTATTTATGATCTTTGACTTATTCTACTCACTATCTGGTTTGGATAGTAAGAACAGGTGAAAAAAAAATCTCCATTTGAACTGTATTTATGCATTGTGTATTTGACTTGATATGCTGTGGTATGATGATTGTAAAAGACAACTTCTTATATTTCTGCTATAAACCCCAAAAGGAAGGAAATTCAGAAATCTGGCAAACTAGAAATCATGCAAAAATAATCCTAAATTATGGCAACACATGGGAAAGTGGAAGTACAACAAGGCAGGATCTTTTTAACTGAAAACATCCACAAAAAGATAACAGACTCATTCCACTTTTTATAAGGATAAAAAGAAAAGACAGGAGAATATCAGCATCAATCCTACTTTTTCCTCATGCAATTCCAGCATGCTTATTTTTTCATGTTCATTTTTGTGTGGTATAATTTATCCTACCTTTCTCACAATTGGAAAAAAAAGATAGTATTCAACTAGTTTTCCTTCCTGTAATGTTATATTGATATTCTTCTTTAACTATAAATAAAACTGTTACTTTTGGGGGAAAAATATTGTTACAGTTCTTCATTTACTTTTCCTTCCCTCCCTCCCTCCCTCCCTTCCTTCCTTCCTTCCTTCCTTCCTTCCTTCCTTCCTTCCTTCCTTCCTTCCTTCCTTCCTTCCTTCCTTCCTTNTCCTTCCTTCCTTCCTTCCTTCCTTCCTTCCTTCCTTCCTTCCTTCCTCTCTCTCTCTCTCTCTCTCTCTCTCTCTCTCTCTATCTCTCTTTTTCTCTCTTTTGAAGTTTATCAGATTTGTTTATTGATTGAATTTCAGAATATCATGTCACATCATGCACAGCTTGCTGGGCTGAATATTTATCTTAGCAGTTTTCTAAGCCAGCAATCTACATATCTGTCAAGAAGATATATTGTCTGTCTGCATGATCATATAGCATTTTGTAACCCTTTCAGATTTGAAATGTGGTGACCAATCAGAAATTGCATATACAGGTTCTGTATAAATCACTAGTTGGATGCCTCTGGTAGAGATATAAACCAATCATACTTTGGAAATCTTTCAGACTCTGATTGTGCAATAAAATGCGTTTATTCAGGCTCTTGGAATTAATGGAGAGCTTTACTGATACCAGGTTCTTTTATATCTTCTTTGCTGGATTGGCATCGTAGCAACTGCATATGAAGTCTAGACATAAAATTAAGATCAGCAAAACAATAAAATCGGTGTTAACAATCATCGAGTATTTCTCACACATAAGCATTTTTATTTGTTTAGAAATTGCTATTGTTCTAGAGCTTCACCAAGCTTGGCACAGATTTTCTGCATGGTAATTAGTGTATTAACAGCGACTTTTGGACAGCTTGGAATCAAAGATCACAGACAGTATCTTCTTTGTTTTTATTCATAATTCTCACAAATTTCATTAATATTCCTCATTTGTTTCTCACTCTAATTGCAAAAATAAATTCAAGCAACCATACAGTATGGTAAGGGTCATCTTGGCTTGATGTGCTTTGCAGTAAGTCTTCACATAAACACCACCTTTCTTAAAGGAGAAATATTAGGATTTATGGCAGATATTATGAATGTAGACATTAAGAACCTGATTTAGTACACTTTTTCTTTCAACATTTTTGAAGAAGGAAATGATGATCATTCCAGGCTCTTCCTGCTACATGTATTACATCATTCTTTTCAATTTATCAAGGTTTTCCCTCATTTTAGAACATATTATATGTACTATTATCCTTATAGATACAGAAATATCTCAATGCTTTTCCAGAGAACTAGATAAAGACAATTAATTAGAGGTAGATTACCAAACATTTCAGTACATGTGCAACTCACATTCAGCTCTTATTTGCATTTTGTATGTGCTTTGAAAATTTGAGGGCACAAGAACAGATAAAATATTTCTATGCCCAACTAGCATCCACAAAAGAGAGACTGGTCTTCTGCAAATGGATAGTTTTCATTCAGCAGCAAATATTTGGTTTATTTATAGAGACATTTGACACTTCTATCAAAAGAAATAATGGATCATTTTTATGATACTAGAACTATAGGGAAAGAGTTTAAAAATATGATCGTGTTGTCTCAAGAGAGATAGAAAATATATTTTATCTGTTCTTGTGCCCTCAAATAAACTAGTTTCCCTGCTGTTGTTTGTGGATATAGTAAACACATCTGAATATTTAGGGTCAATATTAATTCCACAGGCACAAAAAATGTATGTCTCACTGGCAGATCTTTAGCTATCACCTCCTATCACAATTCGGAAGATCACATTTCACTCTCAGTTCCTTCACACACGCACTCTCAAAATTTGAACCCCAATTCCAAAACTCCTTCCTTGATCTGCTCACTCTTCTTTATGAGCTAGTAATGATACACTAGTGTGTATCTATGTATACTTGTGCTATTCACATGCACAGGGCTAGCCTACTTCTTTTTTAATATTAATTTGAACTTTGGCATAAAGTTTTCATGTCACTCAAAAAAAGAAGTGATACCACAAGCATTAACTTACAGGAGCCCTGAGCAAAAGCCTACTTTGGAATGTGAGCTGCACATGAATCTGAGCTGATGTGTTTCCAGTCTCCTGCTTTCAGAAGAAAAAAAGAAAAAATGCATCTGAGTTTCCACCTCCAGCCCATTGTTTATTTGGCAACTGCAGGAGCAAAGATCAGCCCACAGTGGAGCAAGTCAAACTGTATTTATTGCTGGGCTCCTATAAACTGAGTCATAATTGGAACTCTGAACCTGCAGAGACCCTTGTTAGAGTTTAATGGACTGGCAAGGTCAGCGCAGCTTTCATGGTGAAAACGAAAGCACTGTCTAGGAGTTTAATGAGCACAATGACATTTCTGCATGCTCCCAAAAATTCCTGAGAGCATCTGGAGCTGGTTAGATTTGTTGCAACACTGCTTTTTTTCTTTTTATTCCTCTTTCTTGTTTTTCTTTTGGAGGGTAAGCTTGTTTGTGTATGTCTTGTGAGGAAGGGTACTAGCTTGGGGCAGGGAAGAAAGATAGCTTTTTCTTGAGATTTGGTTTGAATGCAAGACTTGAATTCTCCTCTGGAGGAAATTTGATTGTAGTTTCATCTTTCAGGTCTCCACACATCACAAGGGGAAGGGAGAATCAACAGCTGGCATAGTTTTGCAAGGTTCATGGTGAATATTGCCAGTACAACCTTACAAAGAGAAATGTATTATTGTTAGAAATTTGGTTCAAACTAACTAAACTGCCTGTACATGTCATATTTTAGTGCTTGCAAATAATACTCAATTTTTTCCTATATATTAACAAAGGCTCAACTCACCAGCTGTGCTGTAACTCCAGACAAAGCTAAAAACAGGCAGATTCGTTATTAAAAAAGAAAAATGGGAGAGCTGAGGAAAAAAAAAAAAAAAAGGGAAAAAAAGATTCTTCTTGCCATCTATAGCATCTTTCCCTCTTTGGCATGGCTGCTAGCTTATATCTCATTAACCATCTATTCAGCATCATTAGGGCTAGAAGGCTAATGAAAGCTTCCCTCAGTCTCAAAATACTTATTAAAGCAGTCAGCAAATCC